GTACTGCATTCTGCTATTATAGTATAATATATTATTATTATTATTATTATTATTATTATTATTATTATTATTATTATTATTATTATTATATATTTTCTTAAATAATCCTTTTTTTTTCTTTTGGTCTGAAAATTGTATAAAACTGCCTCCTCATCCACAGGATAAGATGAAATGCACTGTATTGATCTAAAAGTGGATAAACTCTTGGGTTAAAGCAGCCAAACCATATGCATTAGCAGAATAGCTCAATGAAATGAAATAAAATAAAATAACACAAAACCAAAATAGCTCCATAAAGTTTCTGCCTTTTTCAGCTTATTGTGTTCAGTGTTTTGGTAATGTTTTATACAGCTAGCATTTTACACGTAATGTTTTTGATAATAAAGTAAAATTAAGTAAAAAGATAAAGAGATAGACACAGTAAAGTAAACAGGCCGTTTTAAAATAACAGAAACAGAAAGCCTGTTTAAATACACAAGTTTCTAACTGCTTTTTAAGAGTCCCAGCGGAGGTCATTAAATAAGAATCTAAATAAATAATAGAGCAAAAAAAGTGAATGTAATACAAAAAGGAACTTACTAAGTTAAAAACTGAAAAAAAGTTACGAGATATATCTAAAAAATCCAGTTGATGAGTTTTGTGCTTATTAATAACTGCAATAACTGCAAATTTAACGAATCTAAACATCCCAATAACCTTGAAGGTGATAGGACTCACAGTGCTCACCCTTTCTATCTATTAATCAATATAACAATCATGGGTTCAGTCCAATACCTTGTGAGGGAAATGTACTTTTTTATTGTACATTTGCTGGCTTATAGGACATTCAATTAAAATATTTTGATAAGTATTTCTTTTCACTTCTGAATTATGGAGATAAATATTTGTATATTAAAGCATTACATATACACATCCACACAATGTTAAGCTGGTAGAGACAGTTATAACTGCTTCATGTGCTGCTGGGGAGCTTAACTTTGGAAAACAAATCCACCTGTTACGAGTACATAAATGTGCTTAGTTACTATTACTACTGATTAAAGATCAGGTCTAGTTTAACCTGCACACAACTTCCTCTCCTCCACACCTCCCCCTCCTCCCTCATCCATCCCTCCATCCTGCTTTAAATTAAATTTCAAACAACCCCCTTTTCCC